CTAATTACTTCATCTTGGCGACAACCCCTTGAGACCCACGACAATAATTGTTATTTTCCAACACAACACTTGCGGTTATAGTCCTCATATAACATCCTGTCTGACGAGAGGATGGTTGTGTCGTTTAGAATTGCTGCTGGACTTCGCCAGCGCAGTCATTCTCTTGTCCGAGTCCCGCAGGACTCATGACCACATTTTTCTATCTCAGATTTGAGACTCCCCCAACCTGGAGGGCAAGGTCCACTTATTTATATCCCCCAGGAACAGGGTGGTCCAGTTATACCCCCAGGCACTAGGTTCGTTTGGATATTCTATATAAATTATGTTCTTTATTCTGTGGTTTCATCTGGGTAACAAACTTGGTCTTCAGCCTATTGCAAGTGCTGAGGTAGATATTTAAAACGGTGAAGACGGAATAATGGTAGAATGGTAGAAATCACATAATTAGGAGCTTCACAATTTGTAATTCTTTTATAATGTCGTCAAAACAATGTAAACGAAGATGCGTGAGAAGCACTTAGCAAGCATGAGAAAACAGTATATAAATGTACAGGTTCAGTTGAAATATCCCTTGGGAAGATGCCTCTCAGAAACCCAGGACACATAGTCGCCCAAATTCTCATTAGTTCTCCAATTTTCGCCGCTTATCAGGCAGTAAATACGTTAGTTCCTTGTGGAAAACTGAATAATGTGACAACAATCACGTCAAAGCGAAGAGTATAACATGGGCAGGGCATATATCACACATGGGACACAAGAGTGTTGATGGGAGTGCCAGAAGATCTAAACGTAGGTAGGAGGATACTATTAAAATGGATCTTAAAGGAATAGGATGGGCTGTTATGGTCTGAATTCTTTGTCTAGGGATAGAGACCGGTTGCGGGATATTACAAACACGGGAATGAACTTTCGGGTTCCATAAAATGTTGTGAAATTGTTGAGTAGTTGAGCCACTGCTGTCTTCTCAAGACTCAGCTGAATGGAGTTACTTAGTTAGGAACACAATAGAAATAGAAACAAACCAACCTTTGTTCCATACCGCATGCTCAGCTGTTCATGTTTCAGACGCTATCCTCGTTTCCTCTGTTCCACAACATTTGGAGGCAGAATCTTTAAGGAACATAGCCACGAACTGTAGGGAACATACACGTAACTCGTGGCGAAATGGGGAGTCAAATTGTGAACTAGACTGAATTGTCTACCGGTATGCTGCGTTGACAGGATTTTGTGAATAATATGCTGAACCTTCGCCGATCACAGTGGCCGCGCGGTCTAAGGCATGAACTGTCTTCGTTCGCTCGAAATCTGCCATTTAGGGTTCGACCCCACTCAAGGCATGGACGTATATATGTGCGTTCATTTTGTGTTTGTGTTGTCGTGTGTTTAGGCAGCGGCCTTGCGGCTGGCCGATCTCTCGCCCAAGGAGTCCTGCCGACTGTAAAAACGATTACGAAACTGAAGAAGAGATCAGGGTCCAATAAATGGCTGTAAAGCCATTGATGAATGAATGAATGAATGAATGAATGAATGTTGAACCTTCGGATTTTACAAAACCAAGTTTTTCACCACTTTATTAGTTAATTACGAGTATGAACAGCTGAGGCAATAATGTCACGGGAAACTGGTTCGCCCGACTGTGGGTCCGTGGATATGTCTTTGATTGATTGGGTAGGTTATTAAGTTAGTGGAAATAACCAACTCCTTGGATAAGAGCACTTCTTGTGAAGAAGACAGTTGCGAAGTTCAGCACTGCCCGCTAGTGGTCCTCATCCAACCGAAACCCTCCCACGCCACTTGCTCAAGATCGACTTCAGTATTATTCTTTCATGCACAGTTAGATCTTCCTATTTATCTTCTCCTTTCAGGTTTTCCAAACAAACTTTGTATGCATTTCTCATCACTTCCATGCGTGCAACATGTCTCGTCCATCTAACCCTACCTAATTTTATCATCGTAGTAATAATATTCGGTGAAGAGGCGGTTCTTGGAAGTAAAGATAACACTTCACTTATGTGTAAATAATGTGTAAGAGGCGCTGCAAGTATGAATATTTATTTTTATGGAAATTTTGCACCTAAATTCTGTCCTGTGTCCCAAGGAAAGCACAATATAACCTGATACTTCTCGGAGACTATAAATATTCATTCGTATGAAACCAAGAGGGGACACTAGGCATGGATTTCTAAAGTTGAAAATTTACTGGAGGGTTTGAAGTGAACTGTGAATCCAGTGGCACTAACCACTCATGTGATGCAGGCAAGTCACTTGATAGTTCTGTTGTAAACATGACGGCTGTGTGTTACGGCTTACACAAGCGACCGTCAGTTCCCTCATGTTCGTTCGTCAAGGAAGGGGCAGTTTGCCGAATCCCCCCTGTGTTATCCTGAAACCTTCACTTACGTCACGTTCCACTCGTCTGCCGCCTGCTATCCTTTACCTACCGTCTGTTACTGTGAAGGTTATTTAGTGGATCTGTTGAAAGACAAGAAAGGAAAGACTTTGCCCTTGGGACTCGCATACAGTGACTGCCAGTGCCAGAATTCTGCTTAACAGTTACACGCAGAGGTGAAATGGAGACTTGGTCGTCAGATCATTACACTATTTGAATTACACGCAACAAAATTACCTGGTATTTTCAATGCAGAACTCTGACAATGATGATTTATTTCACTTGTCATTCAAACGATGTATAGATCACTGTTCTGAATAAAAAAGAAATTAGTTTAACAAATCAGATGGATAATGGGAGAGCTAATGACATATGTGCTAATGATTTTGTTGTTCACTGATGTATTTGATGGTATTTTTAGCGGTTATTTTTCCTGCATATTCGTACGTCATCAATCTTTCGAGTTTTTGAAATGTCTCTTTCGAGCTAGTTTAGCGTGCACAAAAACTGTCGGCTGTGTGCCAGTTGGGTGTTTCTCCTGCTCGTATCTCTGCATCTCGAGCAAGCCTACTGTTTGCTTGTACAGCTTCAAGGTTCTTGCAGGCGGTGGAGGACGCAAGACCAGCGGTTGCAGCGAGCAATAGTTTTGTGTAGTAATAATTAATTGCGAATGCACAACACCTTAGCGATGTAAAACCAGACATAATGAACACAACAAACAAGCATAACTATATTCAACCAGTTCATGGTATAACATACCATCAGACTTCTCTCTTTCGAAAAAAAAAAACTCCGTGGTTTTAGTCCGCAAGCGAACTATACCGACCGAGCGACCGCCGCTTGTCGGCGAAGTTAGTGCCAAATTTAGCGGATAGAGAGTGTCGCGTGGTGAGCGCAACGAATCCTCACGGCCGTTAATTTCAGTTTTCTAGACCGGATCTCTCTTTGGAACTACAGTATACGTGTATTTATGTTGTTCTCGGAACTGCTTTCTCCGGTCTGCAGATATTTTAATGCTGAATTATTTTTATGTCTAGAACAACATACAGAAACACGCAATTAATTTGTACGTAGTTTAGATCATTCAAGAATGAGGAAGTGAGGGAGATGTGGAGAGAATTACAAAGTAGGGAGCTTAATAATAATGTGACATGTAGACCCACTGCCAAATAATAACTGCATAATAACAGCATATACGAAAGACAGCCCCGTCCTCTCGTCAGAGAGGGCGCCCCACAAAAACAAGACCGTAACTGTCGAGCAGAAATAAAAATCTGATCATGAGCCCCAGGAGGGAGAGCCACACCAAGACTTACTGACTGACTGACTGATCGTCAGTCGCAATGTGACTTTGACTTTGAGTTACATTAGTGACAAGTGAGGAGCTGGTAGCTGAGGACAGGGACAGTTCGGGAACTCAGAGGAAAGGAAACCTCAGCTGTTGGAAACCACTACCAAGCAACGGCTAGCGAAGACAAAAACTTTACGTGTGCTGTGGTTACAGAGACCTTTGGACTATGTAGTTCAGTGAGACACTCTAGTTATTTGTAGTTACGTTCTCATGTTCAGTAAATCTGATTATCATTCCAAACCCCGTCTATAGTCACTCAAACGCGCGACAGTATATTTTCTTCACTAATATTGCTGATCGTATTGTACCAAGAATGAGACTGGTGGAGCTTTCAGTAAACATAAGGGCGTTGAAAAGTATACCCAGATCAGTTGGAAACCGTTTCGGAGATCTCAGCATAGCGGTAGGAACAAAGTCTGTAGTTAGGGCGTGAATACAGTGGCTCAGAATATGGCCCAGTATTGTCTTATTGTGAACACGATAATGGGTGTGCTGGTTCGTCACCTGCTTAGCAAATACAAACTTTCCAAGAAAATCCCGAAACATAGAATTACTTCTTTTTTATTGCTAGTGGGGTGGGACTAAGTCCCTTGTACTGCGGCCACTACTGGCCTATAGTACCAGCCCCAGATGACAGGTGAGGTTGATTGTGGAGCAGTTGGTGGAATGAAGATTGGCAGTGGAAACCGAAGTATTCGGAGAAAACCTGCCCCAGCGCCACTTTGTCCACCACAAATCCCACTTGACCAGACGCGGGATCGAACCCGGACCGCCGCGATGAGAAGCCAGCGACTAACCGCTTGAGCTATGGCGCGGCCCTAGAATTACTTAATTTGTTAATTATATAATCAGTTGGTCACGTACTCATATAAGATAGACAGGCAGACATTTAGTCACTTAATAACTTTTATAGTTTGATACTCAGTTGATTGCCAATTACTCACTGCGGCACGTGACCAGAGAATCAGACAGGCAGTAAGATTAACACATTATGTGCCTGGCTTTTCCGAATATGAGATAGAAGTATTTCCACGAAACCTCATCCACATGTATGCAATAGCAGTCTCCGGAAATTCAATGGATGTGCTATCCATTGAATTCCCAGTAAAATGCATCCTTGTGTGGTATCTTTTAACTTCCTCAGACCCCAAGCAATTTCCTGTGGGTACCACGATGTGTTGTGTCTGTCTGACAGAGCAGTATATACCAAGCTTCACCCCTGGTCTCGGAATGTCTTTGTTTTGATCTGTTGTTACTTTTGTTCAACGCACGAGAACATGTGTGCTTAACATGTGTTCTGATGTTCGCGCTGCTGAAGAACCTTCACGGAAAATGTAAGTACTTGTACCTCTGTCTCTCCGTCTGTCTATCTAACGCGGAGTAACGCAGTCCCCTGGAGCAGCTGGAAGTAACTCCACTATCAATTTCTTGTCTCGCGCAAGAGTGCTACATATCCCAATCATTTCATATTCCTATTTATATGAGGTGAAAAGTACACGTTATGAAGGTCCTCATGGCCCAGTTCTTTGACCCCCCTCTTACTTCCTGTCTTAGGCCCAAATACCTTCGCCACTCTGTTTTCAACCCCGTCAGTCTGTCTTCTTCCCTTGATGTGAGACGTCCATGCAAACGAGTGTATGGCATTGTACAGCTCTGTGATACCGAACTGACTGTTGGGAAGCAGTCCCTAATTCAGTCTAACACTTGAACTCACCACATTTTCGAAGTCTTTATTACTTCTCATCCTCAGGCTTTGAGGTATAAGCCGTGTTGAGTGTTGGAGGGTTTCCGACGTTTCGGCAAACATTGTAATTTCCACTTTCAGGGTGGGTGTGTTTGCTGTCAGGGTCAGAACCCACTGCAACCGGCTCCCGTTATTTTTGTTACCGAGGCTTGTCTGGTCTCCTGCGCAGACTGTGACCTGCAGCACACACTCTGGGCCAGGCGTGTCTGGCGGCGCAGCGTGTGCTCCACTCACGGCGAGGGCAAACACCCAACGAGGGCAAACACCCGTCTTGTCTTCCCGCGGTGGAAACCGACGTTACGAAGGAACATGCTACTTCCATTTTCAGGGTGTTCCTGGAAAGGGCACTCTTCATACGCTCCTCACACAACTCTGCCATAGCTGTGAAAGTCCTTCGGAATGTCCGTTCTCCCACTATCCAATTCCCATCTGTGACGACAAATCGGGCGCTGCTTATAAGGGCTTTGTCCAATTTGTACATTTCTTCCCATTGACTAGGATCATGCTCCTTTCGTCTTCACCCCCTCTCCTTGGGTCACATAACTATCCTTCTTGTTACTGTCGTCAAGTCTGTTCCTGGTCTTACAGTCTTGAACCATGCTCTTTCGAAACGTCGGTATCCGCCCACAAAACTACATTGTATTACAACCCATAAGACCACAGTCTTCTCTGTATGTTGGCACTTTAAAGAAGAAGTGTACAATGAAACTCAACATAGAAAACTAATTTCTGACTACATGGGACGTCATACGCAGTGCGCACTGCCTAATGTAGTCACAGATAATGTTATATTCATGCAATATTGTCGAAGTTCTTATCATACGTATATTAATGAATAGAAAAATCTACGTTTATTGTAATTAGCATTTCGGTTTTTGTTATCGCTTTCTTCCCTTGTCGCGGCCTTGACGCATGCGCCTATGAAATAACGACGCAACATCCTAGTTTTTGTTGAACTCCGACGTGAATATGGACCTTTTATTAACAGCTTCATCAGAAGAAGCAGTAGAAACTCAAAGTTAAAGGCCTTTCATGTCTTGATTTCATTATTTGTTTTTAAAGGTGCATGGATTTCCAGAGACATCATGACAATTTCGCTTTAGTTGACGGCTTCCTCTAAGAAACTGTGAAGAGTCAACTTAAAGTATTTTACATTTCTTGATTTTACAGTTTCATTTCTGTCAATTTGCACATTTCCACTTTCCATCAATAAACAACGCTGAACAGCTGCATGCTTGTATAATACGTTGTTGTTATCAATTAATCTGTGTCCGGGAGTGATTACAATAAACGGCGTCCTCTGTCTTTGGCGCTAATATGACATCGGCCCTCAAAATAGTTGCCGTTGGCCGCTATGCAAGTCTGCCAACATTGCTGAAACATATTGGCGGGAAATTCCCGTATGGCGTCTCTTGTGGCAATGACCACCTCCCCGGACGACTGAAATCTACGACCGCGTAGCTTTGCTTTCACGCGGTGAAAGAGAAAGAAATCGCACGGTGCGAGATCAGGTGAGTACGGAGGGTGTTGCTACCGTTCTCCTCTTCTGCTTTTGTGCCCGCTGCTCCGGCCGCTCCTTTCCTCCTCGTCGCTGCTACGGCTGCTCCTGCTTGCCGCTCCTTCCACCTTTACCCTTCTTTGCTATTTGGGTACTGAGGTAACCAGGTTGGATTTAGGATAATGGTAGGCATGGATCTCTATCTCAGGTCGATAACAGGTCTTTCTTCGTAGAAACTTTAACACGACTAACCTGTGGCTTTACCTTAGGTTTAATATACTCATTTTTGGTCACAATCGCTATTTATGGCAGTTACATTTACACTGTTTCGCTTACAGAGGCGATTCTATAAAGAACAAAGCAAGTGCCTCCACTCACTAGGAGGGTCTCTTATGATCTGTTGCCTACTACTGGCTCGGCGACACTAACGGACCTACGGGCCTTCCCAGCACCACACCTTAGATGACATCATTCCCCACATCAATCCGGGGATCCACCACCCATTCTCCATCTGCAAAACTGCACATGTGAAATAGTGCCGTGCTATTATCACGTAGGCACCTCCCCTCCAGGGCCTCACACATTCAAGTCCACTAGTAAACGGTTACAGTGTGGCAAAACGGTGACCTGTTTGCCTTGCTAGTTCCTCCTGGACAAGAACAGAGCGATGTGCAGGGGCGTTGTCGTGTAGCAACAGCCAATTCTTCCTACGCCAAATGTTTCGCTAGGGGATTTTCCTAGTTTTTGGCAGAACTTGATGTTTGCCCGTTCTTCAAACTGCCACATTTTCGATTTCCGCCACTTGCATTTAACTGCAGTTCACAATAGAGGTCGTAATTCAGCGTACACTGTTTGCACACAACTGCCTCTTGCTGTGACGAGAGATGAACTGACAGGTCATCATATCGTGACTCAACCTACCTGCTGTAGTGCACTGCAACGACGCTTTGCGGCCCGTACACGAACTTATTGAATATGGTACTATATATATTTGGGGTCAGCGTGACTAATAATAATGGGTACTGGAGTTGATGATTAAGTTTATTGGCACTTAGATTACAATTACAATCAATTATAACAGTTCACACATTGAACTCCTTAACGACATCTGTCCGACGAATCTCTCTGAAGAATCTCTGACTGCACTGACTGCACTGAATGCACGAATGAACACCATTTTGTAACCGCGAGAGAACTGAACAGAGATCACCGCCTCCAAGGGTTCCAGTACTGCTCCCTAGGAAATCGTTGTCTCGGAAATCTTGCGTTTAGCAGCTTGCTACCCGGCAATGAGTTGTTCGTTGCTATTCATTGTAGTGGGAACATGATTTCCGAGCCGTTGCTCAGCAACGGACGTCCGCTGTAGCTCCACTGTTCCGGTTTTAGGCGGTGTTTACCGAGCCAATGGATTATTCCGTCACACTATGAACAATGAGACTGATGTATCCAAAACAGCGGAGAAGGCATTTGGAACTGACTTCTGCCCTATTGAAGTCCCTTCTTATGGCACGTGTCGGGTGAGGAACTTGGCGAAAGGAAGTCATTGTTATTCATAGAGCGCCGTCCCGTGTTTCTTCAAGACAGTGCCTGGAATATTTAAATGTGTTGATTACATGCATTACAGGATATTAATTTTCCTGTTTTAACTTCTTATACATGCTTGGTATATTGCCCCCACGGAGGTGACTCAAGTGTGCATGTTGTTTCCTCTTCCATTCATAAATGACTCACGATTAGATCTGAGACAGGAAATGCATTCAACTTTGCTTTAGAACATGCCACTAGGAAGATCCAGGGTAACCAGGTGGGGGACGCATCAGCTGTTGGTCT